GGGAGCTCCGTGGGGGACGGCGCGAGGAGAGGGCCCTCCGCCGCGCCCAGGAGCTCGAGGGTCGCGTGACCCAGCGCCACCAGAGGCAGGAGCTGCGCCACCACAGGCGCAGGCGGCGGCGGCACCACCCCCCAGGGCGCAGGAGGCGGCGGCGCCCGCGCAGGGTCAGGAGGCACCTGCGGCGGCACAGCCGCCGGGGCGGTCATGCCTCGGGGGGCTTGGACCAAGCTCGAGGATCGACGCCGCGCAGAAACGCCTCAAAGAAATACGCCCCGTACTACGGGACCAAGGCTCAGTGCTGGGCACGGCTCGTCGAGTACGATAGCAGACGCAAGGCGAGGGCGGCGACGGGTGATTTCCGCGAGCTAAGGCGCGAGGAGATGAGGCGTCAGGCGGAGTCGGGACAGGCGGCGAAGCCGACCTCGTTCCCCGACGTCCGCGAGCCGACGCCAGAGGAGAGACGGGGCCGCGAGGGGAACCAGCACTGCCCGCCGAGTCGCCGGTGCGAGCACTGTCAGATGGGACGCGGGCGCGACAGGCCCCGCGAGCTGCTAGACGCGGAGGTGGAACGCCTCCCCGCGATCGGGCTTGACCTGGCCTTATTCAAGGGCGAGGCGGCTGACGCCGTGGGGGCGGGCCCCCGCGCCGAGGATGGCCAGGGACAGGACGAGGTGGTGGCGCTGGTGATCGCGGACGCCGACATGGGTGCCATGGGGGGCGCCCCGAAGCCTGACCGACGCGCCGACCCCTACACGGCGGCAGCCACTGCGGCGCTCATCAAGAGCCTGTTTTATCAGAAGGTTACTGAAGGCCACGCCACGAGGACGCCATGATGGACCCGGCCAACAAGGTCGAGGCGGAGCTGCCCAACCGTGTGGTCGTGAGACCTGTACCTACGTTCAGCTCCCAGTCGAACCCATCCGAGAATGCCAATGGCATCATCCAGGCGCAATTCCGCACGAGCAGGAGCGCTCTGGAGGCACGACTGGGGGCCAGGGTCCGACCAGGCACGGCCATGTACAAGTGGCTGCAACGCCACGCGGGCTTGGCATGCACCAACCTGAGGATCAAGGCGAGCGGCCGCACAGCACATGAGGACCTCTACGGCCGCGCCTACACCAGGGAGATGGCCACCCCAGGGGAGTCCGTCCTGGCGCGCCCACCTAGTGGCAAGAATCGCAGGGCGATGGGCAAGGTGCACCACAAGGATGACATGGGCTTCGCGAGGGCGGCATGGCTAGGGAAGAGCTACGACACCGACGAGCACATATGCGCCCTCGAGACGGGTGAGCTAGTCACGACGAGGACCGTCAATAGGCTGCCCGAAGAACGGAGGTTCAACCGCACCGCCGTGGCGGCGATCACGCACATGCCATGGCAGCGCCGAGGGCAGGGCGCAGTCCCGCGCGGGATCGAGCCTATCGTTACGCCCCCTCCCGCTGCGGACGCATACGTGGCGGCGCAAGAGGCAGCTGCGACTCAGCCAGACTCCAGCGCTGCTGCCCAGTCCACTGGGGCCGCCCATGGCGGCGGGCCAGCAGCCCAGACGGGCGCGCCCATGGCGGCGCCCTCGGCAGACGCGCCAGGCGGCGCCGAGGCGGTCGCTGGGGACAGGCAGGCGGGGCCAGCGACTCAGACGTCGGCTGGAGGCGGCGCTGGGGACGACACCCCCAGGACACCGAGGGCCGCGGCACCAGCGAGTGCACCCCCGCTGACGCCCCCGATAGGTCGATCGCCGAAGCGACCTTCGGAGGAGGGTGACAACCGAGGCATTGTTGCGAGGTCCCGAGTTAGCGGAGTAGCAGCTGAGCAATGTGATGACGTTCGGCTTGACTTCCTGCAGATCCTCAGGGACATGGATGCCCCTGGCTCCCACGATGCATCGGACTCGCAATTGGTCGAGGGTTCCACCAAACGGGCCCTCGACGGCCTGAAGCAGCACGGGGTGGGCGAGCTCGCCGAACGGAGCGAGGCCGCCGGCAAGAGGATCAGCGCCCGCTGGGACCATGTCTACTAGTGGGACGCGAACCTCGGAAGCAGGATCGCTAAGTCAAGGTACGTCGCGCGAGAGTTTAAGCGGCAGGAGTACCGCGACGACCTCTTCGCGCCAGGGAGCAGCATGGCCGACAGTCGAGTGGCGGGCCGCTACGTGGCTCTGAAGAACGGATGGCCCACCTTCACCGTTGACGCGGAGGACGCGTACTACCATGTCCCCGAGGAGGAGGACGCGCGGGCCGAGTGCCCACCCGAAGTCCTGGAAGAGTGCCGCGCGAAGGGCGACACTGAGGACTGCGCTTGGCAGCTCGCGAAGCAGTTGCCAGGACGGCGCGCTGGAGGGAAGCGCTGGGTCGAGTTCGCCGCGGAGCAGCTCGTGGCCAGAGGCTTCGAGCGGTCACCGACCGCGCCCCAGTTCTTCTGGCACGCCGGCCCCCATGTCTGGTGGAGGTGCACATGGGCGACATGCACGGCGCAGCGCCTGGAGTCGCAGGGTCCGACTTCGCGCTGGACCTGGACCGCGACACCAAGGTGAAGTGGCCAGGCTTACAGGGCGACGGTGCCGACTTCGAGTTTATCGAGTGGCGGCGCGCGCGAGAGGCCGACGCTACCTACATTCAGCCCAACGAGAAGCACCTCACGAAGGCACTGGAGGCGCTAGGCCTTGAGGGGGGCAACCCGCGCGCCACCCCAGGGGTGGAGGCGCGCAGGACAGGCAGGGATGACGCGCCCGACCTCAGCCCAGACGAGGCTAAGCTGTTCAGGAGCGTGACCATGTGCCTGCTGTTCTGCCTTCATGACCGCGAAGACGCTCAGTTCGACATTAACTACCAGACCTCGTGCATCTCATCGCCCCGTGAGGCGGACATGCGAGCCCTCAAGAGGCTGGCAAGGCACCTGAAGGGCACGAGGGACCTGGGCGCGAGGATGACCAAGCCCACCGCGCCGCGGGACATTGTCGACCTGGTCGCGTGGACGGACTCCGACTGGGCAGGCGGCACGAAGGAGCGGAAGAGCCAGACCAGCGTGCACATCACCGCGCGCGGGCGTCCAATGCTCGGGATCAGGCGTCGTCAAGACGCGCAGTCCCTTAGTAGATGCGAAGCCGAGTGGCACGCCGGCGCTCGAGGCCTCAGCGAGGGACTTGGGCTGAGGGCGCCCTTCACGCTCATGGGCTACAGCGTGCGCGTGAGCTGGCGATGCGACAGCTCGAGCGCGAGAGCGCTGTCGAGGCGTCAGGGCACTGGGCAGATCAAGCACCTTGCCACCAAGACGCTTTGGATACAGTAGTTGGCGGCCAAGAAGGTCATCACCATCGAGTCCGTAGCTGGCGACGACAACCTGGCGAATCTCGGCGCAAAGGTGTTGCCGAGGACGCGCCTCGAGTGGCTCCGCGAGAGTTGCGGTTTGAAGGAGGTGCCCGTGCCGGGGACCTCGGGTAGCTGGAGTCGGGGCCATGCCGACCGACTTCCAGGCCCAGTCAACCCGGTTGAAGGCGTTGCTTGCGGTGGCTGCGTCGCTCCCCACGGCGGCGCAGGGAAGCTCGACCGAGCTGTGCGAGGCACCGCAGGAACTGGACAGGAGCGCGCTGACTCCAGCAGTGGCCATGCCAGGAGTCACGACTAAGGGCTACTACGTGAGCCTGACTGTGCTGATGGCGGGCGCGAGCCTAGGGCTCCTGCTTGCTTTGCTAGGGTTTTCCTTGACTTCCTGGTTTTGTCCGCGTGTGAGGCCGAGTTGATGCCGCACGGGTGCCCTGCCGCGCGGTGGCGACGGCGGGAGGTCACAGCGTGCTCCGATCGAGGGGTCGAGCGAGCCAGCAGTGAAGCTCAAGACTAGGAAGGGCGACCGCAAAAGGACGGTTGCCACCCAGAGCCCGGTCAAGTACCTACACCTGGTGGACGACCAGCCCCCTTTTCCAGCCTTTGGGACCGAGAGAACAAGGGGTGTGGTCCGAGTAGGGCCTTGAGTCCTTGAGCCGTGTACTGTCTAGGTGCGCCATGGGCGCGAGCCTAGACCTCCGCGATTACGCGTCGAGGCACGGCGGGCTTAAGTTTCACTTTCTAGGACCCTGGAGGGAGTGGTGACCCGAGGGGTGTCCGAGGAGGAGCGGGCTCACCACCCGCCCCCGCTCGGCCAGGCGGCGTGTTCGGGATCTCGAGTAATTTGGGCGCCATAAATTCGTAGCATACCCGCAGGCCAAAAAAAAACAAGATACGCTTCGCATCCGCGTTACGGCGCAACTTCCGCCAAAATTGGGAGGACATCTCAGACGGGAAGGGGGGGGCCTGAGTAAATGTGGAAGAAGTCTCAGGCGGGAGCCGTTGTGATTGTAGTCCTGGGGGCCAGCGACCCAGTTTGACCAGCAAGACTTTCCCTGTCCAGAAAAAGGGTGCGAGCGTCGAGGGGCACACTGTGACTGAGGAAAAACCGTATGCCACGGTGGGGGGGGGCAACAGTAATTATTTTCAGAAATGAGAGTTCAACCACAACAGCAACAACAACAATCATTTTAAGACTGCTCGCTCCTATCTGTTCACGTGCCAATCAATACGTACCGGTGGGGGGATCAACAGTATTTATTCTTCAGAAGTGAGAGTTCAACATCAAACACACACACACACAGGATCGCACGATCGAAAAGTGCACGGAAAGAGCGGGGACGAAGGCCGACAGCCATCCCTGCCCAGTTCGAACAGGACTCGCTGCGGGCGCCGCCCCAAGCGTCGTCCGCTTCAAGCAAGGAGGCGCCTGCTCGGCGTCGGCCGTTGTCGGATGCGGCTGCCCTGCTTTCCGTGTCCGTTCCGGGCGTGCCGAAACGGGGCGGGAAGACGCACTGCGACCCTCCCAAAGGGGCCTTCGGTGGAGCTCCCGATGGAGTCACGAGGAGGAGGAGGAGGAGGAGGAGGAGGAGGAGGAGGAGGAGGAGGAGGAGAAGGAGAAGGAAGAGGAGAGGGGAAAGGATGAGGAGGAGGGGGAGGAGGGAGGAGTGGGAGGGCGCGCAGGTCAACGTGGACGGGCTCTCGTTCTTCGCGTTCTCCAAGTTCGACCTGAGCTTCGGCGGGGGCCGGGCCGCCCAGCTGCGGGCCTCCCAAGTGGGGCCCGCGCAGAACAGGGTCGGAGGCCAGGCCGCATCGCCGGAGCATCGGCGATGCGAATCGACGTGGAGCCCGATGTCCTCCATGCCGGCGGCGGCGATGCATCGCCGACGTCGTCGATGCCTTGCCGGTGCATCGGGGATGCGGCGCGATCCTCAGACTTTGTCGATGCGGGTCAGATTTGGAAGTCCTCCGCCACAGGGTATGTTTTGAGGGAGGGGTGACGGAGGTTGCGTCGGAGCACCGAGGCGGGGTGGAGCGAGAGGAGGGCGCAGGCCTCGGGCGGCTCGGCGAGATCTCACCTGGGGCTCTTCGACATGTCCCGCGCTCCAGTCGAGGAAGCGCAATTTATCTTGGCATCGCTCGGACGTGTGCATTTTTCTCGGCGAGAACCATCGAGGACCATCCTGGACCATCGAGCAACAAAAAAAACACGCACGAAACCGAAAAATGCAAGGGAAATGGACGTCCGAGCGACGGCAAGTTATGGGACCAAGGCGCGTGGGCTAGTGGTGGGCCCCGCCGCCGTACAGGATCGGTGCGCTCCGTCGTCAAAGCAGGCAGCGTCGGCTTCGTGACTCGGGGGGGTACCGCCCACGCGCCCAGTCCAGGAGTCCGTAGCCCATGCCTGCACGTGCCCGGGTCGAGGGGGGGGGGGGGGGGGGCGTCTCTGGACCCCCGAGTTCGGGACCGTCAAGAGGCGGCTCGGGATGGGCAGCTGGTCCCAGGGGGAAGCATCGAGCGATCCGAGGGCGACCGAGTCGAGAGAGACTGAGTCGTCGGCAGTCTGGGGTGTAGGGAGGAGCGACGTTGGACTGAGAGGAGGGAGAGGAGGAGGAGGAGGAGGAGGAGGAGGAGGAGGAGGGCCACTACGGGCATACCACAAGGGCAACACACGAATTCGTAGGGGCAGCGCGGGTGCTCTGTGAACTGTGACACCCCATTACCACCCGCACAGAAAGAATTGGACGAAGAGACGGACGAGGGAGGGGGAAGCGAAGGAGGGGGGTATGGACAAGCTAGGTGCGCTCGCGTCATATCTGACATCCTACCCCTCCCTTCTATCCCTTACCATGGCGCAGATCCCCTCTCTACTCGCACAGTCGGATGTCGAGCAGGGCAATGATCCCGAAAGGGTACGCGATGCATTGTAGAGCACGGCATGGCATGGCGTAGAAGAGCACCGCAAAGCGCAGTATCAACCTAGCATTGCATTGCATGCCGTGGCATGGCACGGGAAATGACGCCAGCGCTGCAGCGGGAGCACGAGTCGAAACGAGCGGAAGCGCGGAAATGAGGCCAGCGCTGCAGCGGGAGCACGATTCGGAACGAGCGGAAGCACGGAAATGAGGCCAGCGCTGCAGCGGGAGCACGATTCGGAACGAGCGGGGCCCGAAAATGAAGCCGGCGCCTCAGCGAGAGCAGCATTTTGGAAAAAATGCAGGCGAAAACCCAACTCCGGGGAAACTTGTGTGTAAAAAACAGTACGCGGGGGGGTCGGACACTTTCAGGCCGTCATCAGGGGAAGAGGGAGAGTAGTATTCATATTGAGTAATTGTGGAAGGGGGAGGAGGAACCAGAGGACAAGGAGGGAAAGGACAACAAGGACGAGTGGCATGGGCAATGGCGAGGAGGAGGACGAGGGGGTGGGGAGGAGGTCGAGGAGAAAGGGGGAGAGGGACGATGAGCAGGAGGAGCAGGAGAGAGAGGGAGAGGGAGAGGGAGGCAGTGGGGGTCAGTCGGCCGACAGTGGCAATCCGATCCCACCCATTCGAAAGCGTGACTCGAGTTGGATCGGCGTGTGCAGGAATGGCTGTTCACTGCTCGCGCTGCCAAGCAGCTAAGGTCCTCTCCACCCACCTACTCTTCCCCCAAAAATACCAATACTGGGCACCAGTGCGTATGCTGGGTCGGAGAGTCAGCGAGATGTCGGGACCCGCCCACCTGAGATCCCGTCATATGTTTACAGGTGCTTACATGTACAAGCTGATTACTAAACTCATTGTCAGTCCACTGGGTGGACACTGAAATCACGGAGCCATGGGCGGAAGGATATGGAGGAGGAGAAGAGGGAGGAGGAGGAGGAGGAAAACGACGACGAGAATGGGTCCCACGAGGACTCGCCCATTTGAGATCCCAACATCAAATCTGGGCGCCAGTCGAAATTTCGGTAGACTGGAACCCGTGTGATGTGCTTCGGCAGGCGGTTCGGAGGGAATCCGCCGATTTCGGCCAGATCGGACCTTCGTGTTCCTCGCTCGTCCCCCTCCCCCCTCCCCGGAACGCCGCCGACATCGAAGACGCACCTCCGCGCCACTGCTTGTGCTGAAGGCTTAGACTGGGCGTCGCTCTATGGGGGGGGGGGGGGGGGGGGCGATCCTGGGGGGGAGAATGGTGCACTTCTCAGGCCCTCGAGGCCCCCCTCTTGGGGCCCCAAAGGCCCCCTTTGGGGGCCCGCATGGCCCCCTCAGGGGCCACGTAGGGCTCGCCCGCGCTCGCTGCCCCTCCGCACTGCGAGGCAGACTCGGCGCGGGGGAGGAGAGGCAGCGGAGCAGGAGGAGGGGCGCCGCGAGGGCCCGCACGCGTGAGGTCCCTCGAACCCGCGGAGCGGGAGGCACGGCGGCCCCCCAGGGGGAAGTTTGCGGGCGGATGGTGCAACCCCTGTGGGTGTTGGGGGTACTGCTTCGACGGGTGTCGGCGCCAACGGTTGGGGCCACGTTGGCGTCCCGACGGGGGGGGTTCACTGTTCAAGGCGACTTCCGAGGCAGATTGTCGATGTTTCGAGCGACGCGGTCCTTGTTGAAGCTCGGAGGCCCGGTCCGAGGCTCATTTGTCGAGGATGTCCCCAGCGAAACTGCCAGTTTTGAAATTCGGGCTCCTGCATGCCCCTAGCGAGACGGCAGTTCTTGAGACTCAGGATCCCCGCCGAAGCCGATGTGTGAGGGTGTCCTGAGCGAAACAGCCATCTGAGGCCATCTGAGCACGCCTCACTCAGGCTGGTGCGGTTGCCCTGCGGCTTCGGGCCGGCGGAATGCGCAAAGCCCTCTGAGCATGCCTTGATGCTCAGAGGGGTTTTCTCCGCCATATCCTCTCCGTCTCATCATCTATTCTCGAGCCCTAACACGGCGAGGGCCCGCAGGTGGCCCGCCGAATGTAATCGCTTCGCTCACTCCGCCGGTCCATATTGCACCACTATTGCTAGTGTGCCCATGGCGGGCGAGAAGGAGTTTGGGGACTCCATAGGAGAGGAGGAAGAGGAGGAGGAGGAGGAGAAGGAGGAGGAGGAGGAGGCCTCTCGAATGCTTCGCGGGTCACTGTTGGGACCTGACTGGGTCGTGGACAAGACGCCTGTTTGGAAGGCTACTTGGGGTCTCTAGGGAGGCCTCTCGGGGGCCTCTTGGTGGTATGTTTGGGACCTCATGGAGCCTATTGGGGCCCCGTGTGGCATCCTTTTGGGCTCCCGGGGGCCTCTTGAGGGCTTCTTCGGGGCCTGCTGGCGGCTTCGGGGCTAAATTTTCTGGGGAAGGCTCGAAATGTCCGTTCGGGTTCCCCCTCTCTGAGCCCTCATTTGAGCCTCTGGAGCCTTCTGGGTAGGCCTCTTGGGCTGTCTTGGGGCACTCTAGGACCGTCTTGGGGCCGTCCTGGGAGCCTCTTGGGCTGACTTGGGGTAATCTTGGAGGCCTCCGGGGCCTTCCTGGGCGGTCGGCAGCTTGAATAGTCGGTTGTACCAAAACTGTCCACTAATTCAGCAAAATCAATCGTTGCCTCTTCGGGTCCTCTGGGGGTCCTCTTGGAGCCCGCCTGGGACGTCTTGGGCGCCTCTTGGGCCGCCTTGAGACCAACTTGAACTATCTTGGAACGCTCTTGACCTGAGGCCGTGGGGCCTGCCACTCCGGCACCCGTGGCCCAACCCGACTGGCACCTTGCCAGCGTATTGTTCGTCAGGGACCCTCAGGAGCGGCCACGCGCGCGCGAACTAGAGACATTCTGAAATGCATACGGGAGAATGTAACACACTTCTGGCCCGTTCGGCCAGCGAGATTTCTTGTCAGAGAGATGTTATTACACATAGCTAAGCTCCTCGTCAGCCCAAACGCTGAGCCCTACGAGAATCGGTGGTTCAAAGATGGGGTCATGAGGCATGGGTGCCTAAGGATAGGAAGGGATCCAAGGGTGGATTTACGTTGTTTGAGGCAGCTCGTCCTTAGGACCCCATCTCTCAGGACCCCATATTTGAAGCACCGAGAGGACAGAGCCAGAGATTGAAGGATAAGCAGGGCGAGAAGACGGAGCGCGAGAATGGGCCTCACGCGGACTCGCCCACGTGATACATAGACACAGGTACTTGCACGCAGATACACACACTTGTGTGCATACGTGCGTATAGACCTGTCCGTCTATACACATATGTGTGCGGGCACCAGCCGAAATCCGCTTGGTGAAGATCCATGTGACATGTTGCGGTCGGCGTTTCGGGGGGACGCGCCGATCTCGGCCATTCAGGAGCCATGGTGGAGCCCCAAACCCTGGCGCTCCCCGCTCTCCGCCCCCCCCCCTCGTTTTATGTTTCTTCGTCCTGCTTCGCACCTCCTCAGCGGGGCGCATCGGGAGGCAATCGCAGAAGCATCAGGCTTGCCTCGCGCCGTCGGGAGGAGGTGAAGACGAAGAAAGAAGAACGGGTCCTTGGGCAGTCTTGGGTTGTCGCGCTTGTTGCCAGCGTCGGGCGAGCGCGTGGGCGGGCGCGCGGGCGCGAGCTGATACGCACGTGCGTCTCATTCCCTCCTTCCGTTTGTTTCCCTCCCTGTTGTTTCCTCATTCGTTTGTCGCGTTGCCTCCCTTCCTCTCTCGAGAAGCACGAGCACGGATTAAGGCGCGTCCGTGCAAACTCGGCGCGCTCTGTCGCCGCACCATACAGCCTTGGATTCATGATTCTGGGGTTTCGCTTCCCGATCCGTGGATGCGGCGCGCACACGCCAGATCCACAGATCCGTAATCCATGCTCGCGTGCGGCTGACCTTCACATCTTACTCCTGCCCCCCTTCCTCTCTTCTTCTCTCCAATCGACAGGCCATGTTGTTTGGCACCAACGGTGCCAAGGCTCTGCGTACGGGCTCGATTGCTGCAGGTTGGCCGCTTCGGCGCTTTCTGGGTCGGCTTGGAGGAGGGGTTGCTTGGGGCTTGCCATGTGCGCGCGTGTCTGGGGTCGATAGCGTGACGCCGTGGACAAAACTATCTCCACCAATGCTCCTACACAAGGTACATGCAATTAGAAATCGGCTTCTCAGCAGACATCCCTCAGAAATGTCGTATCCCCCGATGGCCCGACGGACCAGCAGAAGCTCTGGGGCACCTTGGGACCATCAAAGGCCGACGAAGGTTGATGCCGCTGACCCTTAAGTGATCGACGTCGACGACGACGAGGCCCCAAGATGCGCATGTGCATAATAATATATCTCTGGCCATGGCGCTCGAGGGGGGGGGGCGGGCAAGAGAGAGTAAGAGGCAGTCCTCTGGACTCCAGAGGGCAGGGCAGGATCACGGGGAGGCCCCAGATGAGGTCGGCGCGAGGGTTGTTGTGATGCTATGTTCGGCCGCTGGTGTGCACCTCTTGTCCCTCGGTGTCTGCGTCGCTCGTTGGCAGCACTCGGCAACAGCACCGAGCATTGAGCAGCAGCAGCAGCGACCAGGAACGGCAACCAGCAGCAAGCACGTGCGCAAATCCGCAAGAGCAAGCAGCCCCGCGAAAACACCAGGGGCAAGTAGTAGCGAGGGCGCCACTCGCCACCGAGCAGCAGCACGCAACACGGCACCAATCGGCAGCAGACGGCGACACATCGAAGGGAGACAATTGCATGCAGCAGCAAACGGGAGGTAGCAGCAGAAAGAAACAGGCAGCAGCCCCAGGCAGCGCAGCAGCTTGACGCAGCACCGCACACAGCGTGCAGGCGGGCAGCAAGCAGCAGCAAACATCAGTACGCAGCGTCCGCAGCATCAGCTGGGATGTTCCAGGCATGCGTGTAGAGCAGCGCGCCTTGTTTCACCCATCATATGTTCACCTGAGTTAGTTGTGCATCCTAGAGTTGTGATGGCACCATACTTTATAAGTCGTAGTGCGTTCATGTCTTGCTCAAACATCGTGCTTTATCGCAATGTGTGTTTGTTGGCTGGCCTGTACTGGTCTTGTCCGTGATCTCGTCGCTGGGTTCTTTGATGTGCCCAGCTTTGTCAGATGCTCCTCATGAGGGCGGGCACTCATAGTCATGCGGGGCATCTAGAGCGAAGCGATCATAACCATGCGAAGATGCACCGATACAGCTTGGCAGCAGCAGCAGTAGCAGCGATAACTGGACAGGAACCAGGGATAAGCGTGGTGCTGTTCAACCCGTAAACAAAAGTACACATTGGGGGTGGTCCGGCTCATCTAGCGACAACGATGTCACCTGCGATATGCCGCTTGAGCTAAGTACTCGGTATCTTGAAATTACATTGAGGAAGCTTTGGGGGGGGACTTGGACTGCACGAAACGACCGTAGCCGTGATGGCTGAAGAGCAGTGCGTGCCTTCCTTGCCCAGTATTCAGGTCGATTGCGCATTCAGTTCTCGGGCCACTTGGCAGAGTAAGCCAGAGGCCGATGAGCCAAGGCCCGAGCCAAGTGGAGTTGTGCTGCAAGGGTGCGAATCTTACACGCATATTTCTTACATTCTGCAAGACTCAGAGCCCATTCGTTGAGATTGAATTGGATGGGAAGTTGATCGATCGTACGAAGCCCGACGAGGATGGTAACAAAATGCCACGTTGGAACAAGAGGGTTCTGATCAACACGGATGGGCGAATGTTAGTTTTTCGCGTCAAGGTGGTAGGGTCATTTGACAATAAGCTCTGCGGTGAGGGTCACATCGATTTGAGGAAGTGTTTGAAGGATCAGAAGGATGAGTTCGCAGTCCCGCTGAAGAAAGATGGCGAGTCGACGGGGTTCTTAGCGTTCTCAATACGTCCGTTGGGAGCTCGTCCATTGAACGGCGGGAATGCACAGGCGCAAGCGCAGATGCAAGCGCAGAACCACGCTCAGAGCGGCTACCCGCAGCCGCAGGCCCCACCTGCAAGCTACCCGGCTACGCCCGCCGCGTCGCATCTGCCCCACGAGCAGGCCCAGATGCCACAGGCACAGGCAGGCGCACATGCGCAAACCCACTACGGTGACGGTGGCCAATCGCAGCCGCAGGCTTCCCCGCCAGGCTGGGCACCGCAGGCTCCACGCGCTGGCCCAGGCATGGCTGCGGCGCCGCTTCCGCCGCAGCCACACGCAGGCGGCGCGTACGCGCACAACCACCACGGCCACACTGGCCAGCTGCAGCCACAGGCTCCACCAGCAGGCTGGATGCCGCAGGCGCCTCACAGTAATCCAGCCATGGTTGCGGCGCCGGTTTCACCCAGCGTGCAGGCCCAGGCGCCGCAGCAGCTGCCGCTGCCAGCCAGACCGCCCGCCCAGCCGACCACCAACGAGGCCGCTCACGCTGGCCAGGCTAGCCAGGTCAAGGTGGGCTCGAGGGGCCAGCAGGCCGCCAACGAGCTCATGCAGAGCAAGGACCGGATGCGCGAGTACGCAGATAGGCCGTTCAAGAGCTTGCAGGGGCGTGAGGAATTGAACCTTGCAGAGTTCCAGACAGCGATCAATCAGCTTTGCGCCGATTTCGAGATGGCAAACCCGGGTGAGCGTGGTATCGCGAAGATGTTTCAGAAGCATTCGGGCGGGGAGGGGAAAGGTGTCAACCGGGAAGATTTCGAGGCTCTCATGTTCCGTCTTTTGTGTTTCTTGCTCGCGGAGGGCGACGTCAGCATCAGCAAGACCAAGCCCAAGGGTGGTGAGGCGCGAGACGCCCAGTGGAGAGAAGAGTTCCTGAAGACGAACAAACAGGCAATCACTGAGGTGTACGACTTTGGGAAGAAGCTCGGAGAGGGCGCCTTTGGGGCTGTATACATGGCCTACCACAAGACAGAGCTGCAAGGCACCAGCCGGCGGCAGCGCGTGGCCAAGGTGATCAGCAAGGCCAGCGCCGTCAAGAACGGCACCCCGCACGAGAAGGTGCGGGAGGAGTTCGCGGTGCTGAAGAGGCTCGACCACCCACACGTGCTGCGCATATTCGAAGACTTCGAAGACGATACTAACTTTTACATCGTCCTGGAGCCGTGCCGAGGCGGCGACTTGCAGGAGGCCGTGGCCAAGCCCCACACGAGCGACCCTCACGAGTGGGAGAGATGGGTCGCCAAGGATCGACGGCGACAGGAAGGGGGCCAGGGCGAGGGAGGTGACCAGTGACCTTCTGGCATACCATCTTGCCTTCTGCGAAGCCTTCCAGGAAGCCTCCGATCCCTGCTGAGAAGCCCTCCGACTTCGTAGAAGTCGGCCCCCCTCGCCATGCCTCCCTTGGCGCGACGCCAACAGGCACTGCAGCACACCCTGGAGGCAGTCGCGTACTGCCACGGCCGCGGAGTCATCCACAAGGACCTGAAGCCGGACAACGTCATGATGGCCAGCCCGAAGGGGGCGCCTGTTCAGGACCTCCACATAGTGGTGGTCGATTTCGGCTTGGCGCAGATGTTCGGCAGTCCCACGGACCGCAGCAACGAGATAGCAGGCACGCCACCGTTCATGGCGCCCGAGGTCTGGAAGGGCAATTTCGGGAAGGCGTGCGACGTCTGGGCCTGCGGGGTCATGCTCTTCTACATGCTCTCCGGCACTTACCCTTTCATGGCCTCGCGACTGGAAGATTTCCCGCGAGCAGTGGCAATGGAGCCAGATTGGTCGCGCATTGCCGGCGCCAGCCCCGAGGCCCAATGGATGTGCGCGGCGATGCTGATCAAGGACGAGCGCACCAGACCGTTCGCGCAGCAGCTGCTGCAGCAGCAGTGGTTCGCCACCCCGGACCTCGCCGGGCCCGGCGGCGGTGACATGTTGTCCAACACCGTGCGGGTTGGCATCATGAGCGTGCAAGAGCGGTCGGACTTCGAGAAGTTCGTCGGCCGACTCGTAGCCACCCAGCTGGACGCTGGGCAGCTGAAGAAGGTCAACGAGGCCTTCCGCACCTTCGACAAGGACCGCGATGGGACTCTGTCCAGGGAGGAGCTGGTGCACGGGTTGATGACGCTCGGCGCCACGCAGGCAGATGCATTGAAGGTGGTGGACGGTATGGACGTGGGAAAGACGGGCCAGATCTCGCAACCAGGGAAGCCGAATCCCCAGGGACAGTGATATTCGCCCCGCCATTCCCCCCCCTTGAGGATGTGAACGGTGAAGAGAAGGAGAGGAGGAAAGGGAGGAGGACGTGGAGGATGAGGAGGAGGAGGCGGAGGAGGGAGAGTGTAAGGAGAAAGGGAGGACGAGTCGCTTTATCCATGTGGTTTCAGAAGCCCTGAGGTACACGGAGTTCCTGGCTGGAGCCACCGACTTGCGCCACAAAAGCCCGAAGGAGCGCGACGAGCTCTTGTGGCTGGCATGGCAGCAGTTCGGCCCAGACAAGAGTGGATTAGTAAGGATCAGGGCCGTCCAAACGGAGAGGAGCAAGAGGACGAGTAGGAGGAATCGGTTGGCACGGCTCTGGCACTACCAACGACTTGCATTTCGGGGGTGGAACATCCCTCTTTGATCGGTTCGTCCTCCTCCTCATCCTCCTCCTCCTCATCATCATCGTCATCATCATCATCACAATCATCCCCCTCCTCCTCCTCCTCCTCGTCATCATCATCATCATCATCATCAGCAGCATCATCGCCGTCACCATAATCGTCCGTCGTCGTCATCGTCATCGTCATCGTCATCATCATCATCTTCGTAATCGCCATCATCATCGCCATCAGCATCGTCATCATCATCAGAAGCAGCATCAGCATCATCAGCATCATCAGCAGCAGCATCGCCATCGTCATTGTTCATCGTCGGCGTCATCACCATCATCTAGTGTAGCGCTTCAGCCCGCGAAGCACCACCCTCAGCCAAAAATCCCCCTGGCAAGCTGCCACAGCTTCCAGTACTCATTTCGGCTTGTCACTGAAGATGGGCTCGGGCACCTCTTGAACTCTTGCGCCTGCGCCCGCCCGCGGGCGCAGGACTGCCAGCAGCAGCCGACGGGTCCCAGGAGCGGCTCGGGCTGCAGGGGCCCTCGGCGGCCACGGACTGTGGCAGCGCCGCGACCCTCGGGTCGGACGAGGGGGGGAGGCACGACATCTGCTGCGTGCGGCCAGCTTCGGCCCCGCCGCCGAGCGCCTCCCTGGACACGTTGGCGCGGCGCTGGGAGGCGCGAGGAGCATCGGCCACGTGAGCTGACGCCAGCACCCCCCTGGCTTCACCCCCCCGTCGTCCGACCCGAGGCCCCCCGGGCTCCGACGAGCTCGTCCTCGGCCTGGTCGTGGAGGGCGCATGCCGAGGCTGCAGGCCAGAGGCGGCCGTGGGCGGCACCTCTTGTGGCCGAGAGGGCGTCCAGCCGCAGGTGCAGAAGGAGCTGGTGCTCTCGAGAGCCTTGGCGGAGCGCCGCAGGTCGGCGGCTGTTGGCCTGCAGCGCGCCTGCTGGTGGGGGTTGGGGGTGCGGAGGGCGGCAGGCTGAGGTGGGGCCTGGCAGCCAGCCCGAGTCGCGCTCGCTGGCGGCTCGAGGTCCGAGGTGTTCGGCCGTGTTAGTTGGCCCTCGGCGGTGTTCCAGCCTCGGAGGGCTCTCCGGCAACTGCGGCTCGCCGAGGGGCGTCCGGGGGTGCCTGGATCGTCCCGAAGGCCCGCCGGAGAGCGGAGCTATGACCCCACGGGGCAGCGTCAGGGGGGATGGGCTCAGCGGGCCATGCGTCGACCCCCGCCGCCCATTCGTCGCCGACGGGGGCTTGGTAGCCCAACCCGCCCAGCTTATGCTTACGTCGTGTCGCGGAGGGGCCACGGCTTGCGGAGGGCATCCCGCCTGGGCCCCGAGACAGGCTTTGGGCCGGGTGGCCAGCGCCCGCCGTGACGGTGCTGTCCGATTGTGTGGCCGCGCCTCCAGCGGCGCTCTCGGGCTCCTGCAGCGCCAGAGCAGGGAGGGAGCTCCAGCGGATGTCCTGGGCGGCGGCGGCAGCGGGATGCTCAGCGTGGGGGGGGGGGCCTGGCAGCGCCACTGCCGCCACCCCTGGCGCGCTCCGCGCGCCAGGGAGGGGGTCCAGCGCCGATCTGAGAAGTCCGCGCGGACCCCTTCAGGTGTCTCTTGATGCTGTTGTTGATGTTCCTCTATACAGGGCCAGTGCAAGGGAGGGGGCTTCGGCGGACGCCTTGGGCGGCAGCGGCAGCGCGATGTTCAGCCGGGGGGGCGACAGGGCGGGTGGCAGCTGGGAAGCGGTCACCGAAGCGAGAGGAGCCAGAGTTCATCTAGCGCTCGTCGGGCGAAGATCTCGCGTCGAGCCCAGGTAAGCGGTTGTTCTCCGAGTGGGTTGGCGATGTCCCCTCTCAGGTGGAGGTGGGTTGGCACGCTCTGGATCGGTTATCTGCTCCTGGGGCAGCACCTCATGTCGCGCCAGCGCGAGCCCCAGCGCGCTCGTCGCACCGTCTCCGCCACGTCCGCCCGTCGTGGCTGACATCCCTCGTCGTGTACGTCGCGGTCGCGGTCGGGTTCGCTGTCGCCCTCGTCGTCGCCTTCGCCGTGGGCGCGGTCGTCGTGGGCTGGCCAGCAGCTGCAGCCATCGCCGACCTCAGGCGCGCTGTAGCGAGCCTCGGCGGTCGCAGGCCCGATCCCTCGAGGCCTGGGCTCGCCCGCCCGCGCAGCAGTCCCCGGGGGAGCTCGTCGCGGCGCGGTCGCGGCTCGGATGCTGCCGCAGACATGGCGAACCTGATCCGCACGGGCTCTAAGTCATCTGGTTTCTGGGCGCCTCGGATCCCGTTTGTGGGCCCGGTTGTCTGGCGTCACAGCCCTGGAGGAGCACGGTGGTCGCAAGCGCCCATTGCGGTTGGCACTCAGCGCCAGGGCCAATCAAGTAGGCACGTCAAGGAAGAAATCGGCTTGCGAGCATGTGCACCTCGCAGAATGATTATCCCCCGACGGCCCCAGGGACTTGCAGAAGCTCTGGAGCGCCTTAGGAATCTTCAAAGATCGGCGAAGAATAAGCCCCGAGATCTCTGATGGCAAGACTTCTGATCGCATGTGCCAGCTGCAGGCGAAGCGAGTGAATGGGGCCCGCGCCATTGCGTCAGGGGGAGCGTCGGCACGGGCCCGCCGGGAGCTACGGAGCGGAGCGTTGCGCAGCAGGTGCGCGTGCTGCGCGGGGCCGCGGAGGCAACACTGAGCTTCGCTCGGGAACAACGACGTGGTCGAGCCAAAGGAGCGCCGGCTCGAGCCACAACGGCTGTGGACTCCAGCTTGCCGATGCGTTCGGCCTCCCAGCAGAGGTCCACAAGCCTCAGATGCAGACGCTTTCCCAATGCGTCCGTAGGGGCGGCCGCGCCCGGCGGCACGAGAGCCCGGTGGGGGCTTCTGAGCGGGGCGTTGCGCAGCAGCGGCGCGGGCTGCGCGGGGTCACCTGCGCTGCGGCCGCCCTTCCCCATGCACGGCCCGCACGCACACCCGTGCCGTTGCGCGAGAAGTGCCGTCGCTGGCCTTCGGCGGTCCTCATGACCCTCGTCCTCCAAATCGTTCGCCTCCTTGCCCGTGTCCTGCCCCTGCCTCGTCGCCTGTGTCCGCCCTCCCTCTTCTTCCACCTGCCTCCTCCTTCTCCTCCCCCTCCTCCTCCTCCTCCTCCTCCTCCTCCTCCCCCCTCCTCCTCCTCCCCCTCCTCCTCCTCCTCCTCCTCCTCCTCCTCCTCCTCCTCCTCCTCATTCTTCCTCATGTTCTCCCTCCCCGCTTGTCCACCCTGCCCCTCTGGATGTTGCAGTGCCCCCGCTCGTGGTGATGCCGTCCTGCGGGACCCCCCAGAGGACCTCGGACATCCAGACGGCCCTGGCGGCTCGTGGCATGACGGTGGCGGAGATGCCCCAGGCGTTCATGAAGCAGCTGCACAAGGGTGCCTCGAGCACCATGACATTCGACGCGTTCAAGCTGCTGTTCCAGGACGGGCCGGCAGAACGGCAGACGGCGCCCCCCTCTGCCCTGCGAGCCAAGCGCCCCGGAGGGCGGGGCATTGCAGTCCAGGACGTTGCAGGATGCCGCAGGGGAAAGCGCATACTGGGGCATGCTTCGGCACGCGGGCTGCAGTTCTCTCGGGCGTGCCTGCGCCCTGGCGTAACTCGGTGTCGCCATCCACGGGGACCCAAACCGCACCTCACCTGCCGCTTGCTCCTTGCTCCCCGCCCCAGCCCTTCCCCTGCTGCCCGTGCCGTTGCCCCTGCTCGTAACCCCTGCCCCCCCCCCCTGCCCCTCCCCCCTACCGCCCCCCTCTCCCTTCCCCTGCTCAGAGGAGCAGGAAGTCATGATAATGATACGGTTTTCCAAGATTTGCAGGAATCCCGGGATCCTCGAAAGTTCCACGCGGGCTGCAAAAACGAGGGCGTCCATGCAATGTTTGAAAATCCTGGAACGCAGCCTGAGCCACTCTTATCATGATATCCATGATCGCCCTGCCTCCCTCCCCAACGTTCCTTATTGCGAAGGCCTTACGGCCTGTGCTGCCGACCCTGATGGGGGACAACGGCGACGACGACTTCGACGTCGGCGACTGCGACGGCGATGGCGACGACGACGACGACGACGACGACGACGACGACGACGACGACGACGACGCTGGCGCTCTGGAGACGAAAGCTTCTCCCAGGGCCCCCCGCCCCTGCCCGTAACCCTTGTCCATCCCTGGCCCCCCCCCTCCCTCTTCTCCCTTCCTCTCCCTCTCCTTCGTTCCTTGTCTGGCGCACCTTGTGGCGGCACGATAGCTGTGCTCCCCTGCCCGTCCCCACCATCCCCCTCCCCGCGCACGCTACTCCCGCATGGGAGGCCGAACGCAAGCATGCCACCACGGACTACTCACAGAGGGGCAAGAGGGACTGGAGGGGAGAGGGAACGGGAGAGATACCGCCAAGGCGCCGGAACCACGACCACTCTTGGCTCAAAAGCCCCTTCGTTCCCTGTTCAGCGTTCCTTGCGATTGCACGGTCACTGTAATCAGGGAGGCAGCGGGGTGGGCGTCGATTCAGGGAGAGCGCGGCTGCTCAGGGGCAGCCGGACCGTGGCGAGCCCCCTTGGTCTGCAGGGGCGGCGGTGATGGCCCGCAGGGCCACCGGCGTCGTCGTCCGTTGGCAAACGAAGATTTGAGGAGATGCAGTCGAGGCAACGGCGGACTTGCCTGGCGTTGTTCGCCATTGTTGGCCCTCCTGGAGGCTTCTCGTCGTCAGGACGGACCCTGGGAGGGGCCCAGGGGCCGATGGTGAGCGGATGTGGGCTGGACGAAACAGAATCCGTCGTCTCACTTGGCCTTCCTCTGAAGAAAACTAGGTGCATTGCTCAATGCTGGCCATTTGCTTGCTGAGCTCATCGGCTGCACACGCATGCAGCCATCCCTGAGTGTGCGGAACCCAATGCTTGATGAACGTTGATCGACATCTTCGCCAACCGGCCGCGCACGCGCCGCTGATAAACGACACGAAGTTCTTGGCCTTGCACCTTCAGCCGCGAGATCTCAGCTGAACGTGTGGCGTGCACTTGCTCGTCATGTGGCGCATGCTGACCTGTGCGACCCCGCGGTGCTCGTTCTCTCGAAGCCTTCCTTGCGCGCCAACGACGTGCCTTCGAACGTGGTCTCTTGCAGCAGCCCCCATACAGTTGGCCCGTCTGATCTGAACCAGGGACCCACAGAAGCCCTGAGGCCCCATGAAGATTCGAAATGGATGGCGAGTCTGCTCCTGGATGCTTCATGGCAGGATGTTGTATCGTATGTACCTGCTGTACGTTGGGGACGACGCAGCATCCATGCCTTAGACTCGCGCCCGAGATTTCTGCGCCCAAGGGCAGCACGACAGGGCGCAAAGAAGATGGAACTATCGTGGCACATGGACGGCCACGCACGTTTTGCGGCCCGCGCCTCATCGTGCAACACTGCGGCAAGGGGAGACAGTCACGTGCGCTGCTGCTGCACAGGTGATAGACACACTGCGAGCCCCTCTTGACGCGAAGGGTGAAGCTGAAGGGCGGCGTACAGTGGCTAATCGCACCTCCCCGCGCGCCGGCGTCCCTCGAGGAGGGCTTGGCTCTGGCGTTTCGAGCGGCTGTAGTCGCAGAGCGAGCTTCTTGGCTGCACTGGGTCGCGACGGTGGGTCGAGTGCCGCTTGCGCACAGTCTCGATGCACCAGGTCGCAAGGGGCTTCGGCTTTCGCTCCTCTTGGGCTTGGCACAGCGGGGCCACATTCCAAACTTCTGACACGGCGTCAGGGTGCTCGTTTTAAAGTGCACTCTGGACAGTCGGCTCTTGGCGCGAGCATCGAGGTGCCAGATCCTGGCATTCCATTTCTATCAAGGCGCCAGGGCGCGTACCGCTTTGACAGCGCACGCCGTTTAGCAATTGGCTGCGAGCGCTCAAAAATGGCGTGCGGGACGGCATGATCAACAGCAGGTATGTAAAATTGAGCGGGAGGATAGCCATTGCTGCGGAGAGCTTGAGGTGTTATCCTGGGCCCCTTCTTGCACGGCGCACCGTCACCACCATCATTAATCAGCACGTTTAGCGGCATATTTAGTGAAATCGTCACCGTTATTATCACCCACAGCAGCATCATCATAATCATCATAATCATTATCATCAGCATCATCAACATCGTCACGATCATCACGTTCCTCATCATCATTGCACCTTCTTAGCCCTCCACGTGCTCCTCACCATCGCGGTGATCAGTTTCTTCATGATCACTTGCTTGTCTTGTTTATCATCCTCGTTGTGCCCGTGCCCTGATCATAATGGTATCTTGGTAGTGTGAAATTGGCAGTGTCAGATGCTGAGCGACGTCTGCGTGTGCGGCGATGACCTGTTCTGTATTATTTGAGCTATGGTATGGACGTTTGCACTTTATGCTGGCGCGGGATGCCGCATTTGCTGAGCAGCACGCCGTTCTCTGCAGCGTTCACTGTTGTGCAACAAGCTGAACTGGATTCACACGTTGCACATGGTTTGCAAGACGTGGTTGCTGCACTGCGGGCCTACGCTGTTGGCTCGACACAGGTGCTCGTGTTGGAGAACGTGCTTCCTGAGTTGGGACGTGATTTGCTTAGCATCACGACCAGCATCGTTTCCAGCGCAGGATGTCGGTATCGCACATGATTCACGCACGAAAGCATGGTCTTCATTGTGGTATTGTCTGTTTCGGTGGACGTGCTCTGGCTTTGCAGCATTCAATTTGGGCTTGCAACCAACATATGGACGTACGTCTTACATGTCCCGCTCTCGTCGTCCTTCTATTACTCCTCCTCCTCCTCATCATCCGCCTCGTCTGATCCTTCTCCGTCCGAGGCAGTATTATCTTTCTGGTCTGTATCCTCCTCACCCTTCTCTACCATCGTCCCTATTCACCTCCATCCTCCTCTGTCTCCTTCTCCCTATGCCGCCTGCCCGATCGCTTTCTAATATGTCTCACCCGTCCTCCTCCCCACCTCTAGCATTTCAAGTGAGATCGAAGCGCCCCCCAAGTGAGCAGACCAGAGTCCTCTTCTCCTTGTCACCCCCCTCCCACCCTACTCGTCCCTCGCCATTAGGCTCCTTCTCATCCTCATCTGACCCTCTTGATCCTGCTTCCGCTTCTCTCCTACTGGCCGCGGTTGGGAGGGACGAGATTGGTGCGTCGCTCTCCTCCTCGCCCTGGACGATGCCTCATCATCCTCCACTTCTCCTCGCCCTGGACGCTGCTTCTGCTTGTGCTTATCTTCCTAACTCCCATCCTTCTCGTCCACCCTGTCCTTCTCGTCCCCCCCCTCCACATCGGGCTCCGCCTCCACCCCCCCTCATCGCCCACCTCCACATCATGCTCTTCGTCCCACTGGCCCTCATCATCTTCCTTTTCACCATCAGCATCACCATCCCCATTTCCTCTCCTTCTGCGGTTCGTCCTCCCCACCGTCTTAGTGACAATCCCCCTCGTCCTCCTTGTTCCCCTCCTTATTTCCCTCATCTTCATGCTGATCCATATACTGTTGTAATCCTTCTTATCCCCTCATCATCTTCCTGATCGTCATTCGTTTAATATGCCACCTCACCATCATCAGAACATGATTCGCGTTCTGTCCTCGCGTTGTGTTCATCTTCCACGTCGTCCACCTCCTCCTCCTTGTCTTCCTCCTCTTTCACATTCCTGCCCCTTGTCCGCCGCCTCCTGCTCCTCCTCCCCCTCCTCCCCCTCCTCCTCCTCTTCCTCATCCTCCTCCTCCTCATCATCATCATCATCTTCACCCCGCCCTCCCTCTTCTGGTCGTCGTCCCTGTATCCTAGCCATCACCAATCTCGTACTCCACCTGGCTAATCCGTATCCTGTCCCATCTCTTTCCCGCTGTGCTTCTCATCCTTCTCCTCAGCCCGAGGAAAGGCCATTAGTTGTGTCTATAGGCAAGGGGGGTCGTTTCCATGTTCTGCCACGAAGGAGGACCAGTCCTGCTTCCTCATGACTTCCGTCTGCCGAGTGAGCAGCCTCAGATAGGCGCCGAACCAGCAGCCGCAGATAGGGATGCCTGGCACCAGGGCGCGCCTGAGAAAGTGCGCGGTCAGTGTTCCTCTTCACCTCACTCGCTCTTTGCATTTTCCTCCCTCAAGACCTTTATTGCGAAGGCCTTACGGCCTGTGCCGCCGACCCTGATATCGACGAAGATGAAAATGAGGGGGGGCAGGGGGAGGAGGATGAGTGGGAGGTGGAGGAAGTTTAAACCTCTGTTGGAGGCTTCTTGGGGCGTCTCGGGGCGTTCTTGGGTGCCTGTGGGGTTGTTTGGGAGCTTCGGGAAGCGAAAGAAACGAGAACGCAAGAATCTGTGGAAAACCGACGAGAATCGAAGGATTTTGCTTGTTTGGGCCTTCGTGGGATAGCGCCTGGAGGCATTTTGCGCCGTCTTGCAGGCCTATAGGGCCGTCCAGAGGCTGCGAAGGCGTCTTGCACAGATCGTTTGGCGATTCAACGTTTTCTTGAACTGTCTTGAAGGCGTCTCGGGGCACAGGGACCCGTCCCTGAAGGGGAGCGACGACGGCGGCGGCTGCGGCGGTAGCGACGACGACGCTGATGTGGGTTGAGTCCTCAGGGGTGCTTCTTGGGGTCTCTTCCGAGCGCTCTCGAAGGCCTCTGGGGGTCAGTTTGGGGGCCCCTTGGGGGCCTCTTGGGGCCTCTTGGGGCTTCTTCGGGGCCTCTTGGGGGCCTCTTGGGACTGAGGGCTCGAAATATCCGTTCGGGTTCCCCGTCTGGGCACTCTCCTGGAGCCGTCTTGGGGGCCTCTTGGGCCGTTTTGGAGGCCTCTTGGGCCGTCTTGGAGCCCTCTTCGGCCGTTAGGGGGCCCTCTTGGGGGCCTCTTGGGCCGTCTCGGGGCGATCTTGGGGGCCTCTTGGGCCGTCTTGACGCGTCGGGAAGTGGAAGAGGCAAGAAAGCCAAAATAACGTTTCTGGGAAATCCATGAATTTTGCCCCTTGGGGCTCTCGCGGGAAAGCTCCTGGAGGCCTCCTGGGGCGCTTTGCAGGCCTCTTGGGCCGTCTGGAGGCCGTCAAGGCGTATTGGACAGATCGTTCGGCGATTCGGTGTTCTCTTGGACTGTCTTTGGGGCCTCTTGGGGCACTCTTGGCCCGTCTTGAGGCTTTTTTGGGTTCCGGGACTCCCCGGGGGGGGGGCGTCGTATCTGACCCCCCCCCCCCCCGGACCCCTCCCCCCGGGACCCCCCCCGGGACCCCAGAGACACCCCCCCGCGGAGGAAGGATCGAAGGGAAAGGGCTTCCCTTCGACTGAATTACGACTTTGCTCAACTTCGCTTTGGCTGGCGCGCTGAGGAGGAGGGGGGAGCTTCGACGAGCCCAGGGAAAGTGGGGGGGCAGGGAAAGGGGACGACAGAGATGACAACCAACGAATGACAGAGATGACTTGAACGGACAAGCCCCTCACACACGCCGACAGGGTCGGCGGATTTTAAGAAGAAGACTCTCGGGTACCTCTTCTCGCCTTCTCATCCTTCTTCCTCGTTAGTGCCACGCCGCAGCAGCCGCAGCCGGCGGCGGCGAGGGCCCGTGCGGAGCACCAAGGCGTTTCGGTCGCTTCGGCTGCGCCGTACTCGGTTGCGTCCGGTCGGTTCGCTTCGGTCGGTTGTCGAGTCGTTGCCGCGTCGTTGCGCACTGCTGGGCTGCCTGCGGCCTGTCGGTTTCGCTTTCGCGCTCGGTTCGGTCGGTTTTCGGTTTTGCTGTCGCCGTGGGCGGCCTCGGCCCTGGGCACGGGGGTCCAGGGCCCCGTCCCGGCCCATACCCTGAGGGAGTGGCCCCCATGCTAGATTGGCATAGCTTGAGGCCCCTCGTCGTTAGGGCTCCATCCCACAGGGCACCATCTCTGAGCCGCCGATTCCCCGCTGAGGGGAGGGTGGGGGCCCGGGCCGCCCGAATGGGTTCGGAACAGATGGGCTCGGAGGATCGCGTTACATCGCTGGCGCATCGGCGGTGCGGCGCGACTCGGAGCCTGCTCTCCCCGTCCCAGCATCGCCGAAGTATCGGCGACGCGGTACGATCATTCGACCCCATCTACTTCGGCCCCATGTGGGCGGCCTCCAGGAGGGCACCACACATCCAGACCCCCGACGTCAGAATGTTTTCACGACGTGGACCCTCAGGGGTCTCGACCCCTTCCCCTTGAACCGGCTCTTCGGGCCGAGTTGTTTTTTATGGTCCTGGGGCCCGGTAAGGGCCCCGTGAGGTTGAAAATAACAGAAATGTTCCCGTTGTGATTGTTGTGTGCGATTCGAGGGGGCATGGAAAGGTAGTGGCACAGAGCAGCGGGGAGATTTGGATGCAACTCTTGGGACATTTCTTTCAGCATCGGCGCTGGTATATCAGGGGTCGAGAGTCAGCCTAATCTGGCACACTCTGGCTTGATTCCGCATAATCTGGCTTAACATTGGGCTTAATCTGGGCTACTCTGTCTCAATGGCCCTTCAATCGGGCCTCATCGCCATTAAACGGTTGACGCAAAGACCTCCCAGTAGTTGCCGCCTGAGGGAGGGAACTCAGGCAGGCCCAGGATTGGGAGAAATAGTTCCAGAGCGTTCCCGAACGCTCTCCAAACGCTCTGGAACGGTCGCGGCTCCCGAGACATCCTCCAGAACTGCTGTATCTCAGACAATCCCGATTCATCCCGATCCGATGTTGTCCCGATCGTGGCTCCGTCCAAGAGCCTAGCCCTGTTGGGGTCTGAGTAAATGGAGGGTCGGAGAGCCTCTGTCGGCCGGGCGAGCGCCGCAGGGCTCGCCGCGGCCTCGGGGAGGCGGGGGGGCGCGGGGCGCGCGGAGGTTGTCTTTCGCGAGGCGTCCTGTGAGCGATCGCGGGTGGCCGCGGTGCGCGTCGGGATGCACGCCACGTCAATGATGGTGCCAGCCACAACAGGGGGAGCTGTGGTCCTTACCCCCCGGGGGGGCCCATCAATTTCGACACCCCTCTCGAGAGATCGTCGATGCGATGGGTTCTCCCAGGGGGGTAAGGACCACAGCTCCCCCAGTTATGGCTGGTCGGATGATAGTTCGGAGGGGGCGCTGGGCACAAAAGGATGGAGGCGAGGACAAGTTGCAACGGCGGGCATGGCAGACGCAGGAGAGGCAAAGGCCGCAGCAAACATCAAATTCGGGCAACGGTTGGGACGGTATGGGATGGTGGTGATGTCGACGATCGTGGTGGCGTCCAGAAATGGCAATCCGAATTTCGTCTTCCACTTCCCATCCTCCCCTCTGCGACCACTTGCGGAACCTACCCCTGCGAGACCAATCGGCGTTGCGGTATCGGACACCCCGTGGGGGTTCGCCTGCATCCTGGTCCTGCTCATCCACATGATCCGATGTATGAAGCCGCCCTCTGTGATTGTGCATCATGCGACGGAGCCATTTGGGGGATCAAGATCCTCTGGGACACCCCAGCTGGCGGGCTGAAACGGATCCAGCGCTCTTGGAAGGGGGGATGGGTGGGTGGGAGGGATCGGATATCAGATAGAGCGCGAGCGCACCCAGTTTGTCCTTGCCCCCTCCCTCCTTCGCTCCACTTGTCCCCTTCTATTACGCCCCCCTCTCTCTACTCTCCTCCTTCCCCTCTCCCCCTCCGGCCACCCTCCCCCCCTCCCCGTCTTCTTTGCACCTCCTCTCCATCATTTTCTGCCCCGCCCTCTGCCTCCCCTGCCCAGAGTTGGGGGGGCGGAGGGCGGAGGGCGGGGGCGTGCAAGGCGTCGGCGGGCGCGGAAACCGCCCGCAGGCAGCAACGGGAGGCACAACGTCTCGCGGTGCGGTGAGACTCAGATGGGTTGGTACCACAGCGTGGACCGTGCGAGGCGTGCCCTGCACCCTTTTTCCTTCTCATCGTCCCCCTCGCCCTCCTCCTCCACCTTGCCATCATCAACATGATCCTCTCGCCGCTCCTTTGGGATCATCTGCCTCCAGGGCTCGGCCAGCCACGCGTCACACGCTTATGGTGCCACTCTCGCTGGCTGCAGCCCAGCGACGAGTTTCGCCAAGATACTTCTCTGCCGCCGATTGCTTTCCATCCAGCAGCGCCACCCGCATGTGGGCGGAAGAAACATCGCCGATGGTGTGCACATGCTGTCTCTGGTTTCCAGGCGAATGGTTGTCAAGGAGATCGGAAACGTCGGAACCGAGCATTCCACGGGTTTTAACAAGTTGGAGCTGATACTGCCTGGGGAAACGCATTACACTGCCTCTTCCCGAGAACTCTCTCAGGACCTGACCCGTGTCTGGGCCCATCGTGGGCTCACATGGAAGATCACCAAAGCCTCGGCTCTGATGTTGCACGTGCGAACGCCAGGCGCAACGGTACCCTGCCAGCAGGCTTCGGAAAGTAGCCAAGGAGAGCTGGAGACTCAGACAGCTGCGGCGGGCTGGAGGTAAAGTTCACAACATACAGCGGGCTTGATCACAAGCTCGTGCCCTTTGGGAGGCTGCGGTGACGAGGCTCAGTAGCAGGCAGGTTCACGCCGTCAGAGTCTCTCCTGCAGGGCCCCTCCACAAAGAAAAGAGCACGGCCTCGGTGGGGCTCAGGTTGTCGTGTTGGCCGATTGTGAGACAAAAGCTTGGTCCCATGGCTGCTTGCCACAGGCAGGTCGTCCAGCTCTGGGCCCAGTTTGTGTTGGGCGGACGGCCTTCGTTAGCCAACTTGCAGTTGGTTTTGGCTGGGGCTCGGGCGGAGCTGGAGGAGCATGGGTTCACTTGGCGCGGTCAGGTCCCCAGCGCACGTTTACGCAATGTCGCTTCGAGTCTTAGGGTGGCATGCTGTCGATGCGCGGAGGATACAAAGGCGCGACAGAAGGGGGCTTGACCAACTGGCCCAGACCCCTCTTCAGATAGTAACCCGTTGCCAGAGGGTTGGAGAACCCTATCAGACGTTCAAGCGTTGCAGGCCAGAACCTCTTCGAAGGTTAGGGCCAGGCCGATCCTTTGAAAGCCTCTGAGGGACCTCGCGAATGGGGGCCCTCCGAGCCCTGGGGCCAGCACCGATCTACACGGCAACTGCCCGTGCCTGTGCTGCGCCTTCCAGTTCCACGTTTCACATTAACTGCAGCGCTACGCTCAGTTGTCTGAATAACCCTAGCTATGCACAAAGCAGCAGCTGCCGTCGTGCTCACAT